ACAGAGAACTGATCTGATCATCATCAGTCTGTCTGGAATGACATGAAGAAACAGAACAAACTGAGACAGACTAAAACCAGAAGAACTGTGGCTGCATCTCCAAGATGCTTCAGTTAGAAATAACTGACTTAAAACCATTTTTTAGCTGGTAAAAAAAATACTAGGGTTGTAATAATTTTGTCCACCACTGTACATACAATATGAATAGAAATCTGTGGTGTGTCCTCTTTTATAGGCTATAGATTAATGTTTGTTTCTCCTTCTGAGGGCACATGTCTGCACACATACAGTGGAACATGCTGGAACATGCCTGTGAGGACGTCTGAGGTGAAATAAATCATATGTAATCATGTAAACAGGTTTCTGTGGATGTACATATGAGAAAAATGGCTTAAAGTGATAGTTCAACCCCCCCCCCCCCCCCCCCCCAAAGAAAAAAATAATTTACTCACCCTCAAGTTGTTCAAACCCTGAATGAATTTCCTTCTTTTGTTGAACACAAAAGAAAACCGTAGGCTATTTTGAAGAATGTGGGTAACAGCTACTGGTCTTTTTTTTTTGTTGTTGTTTTTTTTCCAGCATAAAATATCCAGAAATAGTTTCTTTTGTGTTCAGCATAAGAAAGAAATCCAAACAGGTTTATACCAACTTTCAGGTAGGCTATAAAAATAAATGAACTCAAACAACAGAAGTCTACGGAAATTCCCCGGCAGGTTAAAGCGGCGCGTGCGCGCATGAGCCGCAGACTGACTTGACTCTGGGCTCCTCAGGAAAGAAAGTGTGTCCCTCAGATCAGGAAGTAGAAATCTGTGGTGTGATCCGCGAGCGTCCGCCAAACTCATCCAAACCAAAAGCATCAGAGGCGCCCCGCTTTAGTCCGCGGTTTACACTACAGGACATATCACATATTCAACATGTGGTAAGTACACTAAACTATCTTGTGATGTTGAATAGGCTCCACAAACTCACCTCGACTGCACTATTTGCGACACAACTCGCTTGGAGCGCCTGCAGCGTTTGTTTGTAGACTTTAGCGCGTCGTGCAGCGTTTGCAGTGCAGGTGAGACATTGTAAAAACTGACATTCATTCAGCAAACTGAGCGACTGGGGCAAGTTGTCACACACGGGGAAGTTGCCACAAATCTCAGTAACCCTGAGGTGTGGAGTCAAAAGTCCATACGTGTTTTTTTTTTGTCTAGCAGTGGTTTTGCATGTTGAATTGTTCATTAATTTAGTTTTTGTGACCGTTTTAATGCTTAAAGTTGGCTGAAAAACCCATTAAGTGTAAATTGTGACAACTTACCCCGCGACATCATGACCTGTTTTTGGGCTATGGTGTGTTCAGTGGGCCAAATGTTTTAGAAATGTTTAATAATGAATGTTTTTTTAGTCGTGTCTTTGAAGTTTGTTTCTATACAGAAGTGGAAAGTTTAAAAATGAGCACAAAGTGGGAAATAATCACTGGAGTATATGTGACAACTAGCCCCGGTGTCTTCTACATGACTAAACAGAGTTGTAAAGTTTATTTGGAGTATGTAAGCCTGGTCAGTTAAGTACTGGTATCATTTGACAATACCATGGTAGTTTGATCTAGTATTGAATGTTTACCATGGTTCTGCTTGATATTTCATGAGACACGTCCATTCTTTTAAAACATTTAATTGCAGAATAAGAGTCCAAATGTGTCTGGTTGTACCAGCGCTGCGGAGGTCACTCGTTAAAATTCAATGTAGCTACTGTAACTCACAAAAGAAAGCTTGTTTTGTTTGTAGCCAAATGACCAATGTCCTCAAGCCAAGGAAAAATGAGTCACGTCTTTAGCTGGCACAACACTTCAGCTCTGGAAAAGGGTTTTGCTGGATGTGGTGGATTGTAGACGTCTAGAAGAATTAGTCAGCTGGACAGAGCTGGTACATGGATTGGTTAACGTCTAGCTTTTACAATCGAAAGCGAAAAATGATTAGACTTCCTTTACATTGGACTTCTATAAAAAGAGATTGGCAGCGGCGTTATGTTCGAGGAACTGCATAAGAAAGTCTCAGATGCCTGTTGTGTCGCTTCCTTGCTGGATTTTCATATTCAAATCAAATGTTATATTGAAATTATACATTGTTCACAATCTGCTTTGCTTCATAACTGGATCTGTTTCTGAGGGAGAATGGATGTTCATCAAGAAAAATGCAGGTTTGGACTTGGACTTTCATGCATTTGAAAATTTAGGAGATCAGAAAGCTTTTAACGACCTGTACTAATGAATAAGACCAGGAAAGTGTATTAAAAAGGGTCAATTTTTTATTTCATTTATACTTTAATGTCAAAAGCAGCAAGTGTGTGATATGGTTTATGATTGACCTTAATGCTATCAGTGTATATCTTTAATGAAGCAATGCAATTAATATTTCCAAAATTATCTATATTCTGTTGCATTCTACATAGTGTTGTCTGGTTATGTTTTGCTTGTCTAGAAGTTTAACGTGTCTCTAAATTTTGTTTTGAAGACAAACGAATGGATGGATGTCACGCAATCTGTTCCTGAAGGGGCATTTTATGTATCTTCGGTCCATGAAGATGTCTTGCGAATGACACTGCAGCTTTCAGCCTGAAATATGTCGTCGTACTGGTACGTCAAAGAGACTGCAGATCCGGGCGGCAGTGCCAGCAGCATGGAGGAGCAAGCTGGTAAGAAACCTTTACACATCCAGCAGGGTCCAAAAATAATCTCAAACTAATCAGGTATTTACCAGATGTCGTATAGGTCATACAAGTCTGACTCAAGAATCTTTGCTTAAAGGTGAAGACACTACTCAATGTTTTGCAAGGTTCCCCTTTCTGTTAAACATATTTTATTGGACTGTACAGAGAAAACTCTTTAATGAAGTGAACTCACTTAAAGAGTTATTTAGTAAAATTTTGCCAAGAAAAGTTTTAGAATTTTTATCACGTTAATGTAAAAAATCTTGTGTGATATACCTTGTGTTTGTTTGTTTGCTGGTTTTTATTGTATTTGTTATACGTGTATTTTTTTTAAACTGTTTTTGCCATTTGATGTCTTTGATGCTGACATGGCATTAAATAAATATATACTACTACTACTCAAACTAATCAGAAAAAAAGTATTTATTTATTAAAATTAGGGCTGTCAGTCGATTAAAATTTTTAATCTAATTCATTACATGATGTTTCGATTAATTAATCTAATTAATCGCAAAATAAATTTGTGAAAATACCCACAAAAGATTATTTAAAGCTATTTTTCGTGTTAAATGAGAAAGTATCAAGTAGACATTACAAATTGTAGCTTTAGAGAGAAACATTTTATTTGATTTAACATAAAACTTATTACACATAAACATTTAGGCTACAACGGCGTAACGTAAACTATGGAACATAAAAGAAGATAATTTAAGAAACATTTCAGTATTTTTTGTTCATACAATGTAAGTCATTGGTAACCAAAACAGCTTTGTTGCCAACAGTCTTCAAAATACCTTCTTTTATGTTCCACAAAAGAAAGGTTTGAAACGACATGAGGGTCAGTAAATGATGACAGAATTATAATTTTTTGCGTGAACTATCCCTTTAACGTTTTTATTTGTATTAATATTATTTATTTATTATTGAAATAATACTCTAAATAAGAAACTAAATCTGCCAGCAGGTGGCGGTAAATGTCTTTATGAGTCATTCATTCATTCGATTCGTTCAAACGGCTGATTCATTCAGGAATGAAGTAAACGGCTCTCTTTAAGAAGGGGCTTTTGAATCATTGATTTCACATGATTTGTTCAAAACGTGGATTCATTCAGAAACTAAACACCGCTGTGTTGCTCGGAGACGGGTAATATGGTTTCTGCAAAATTGAGCAAAACACATAATATAATATTGTGTTTAAAATATAACACAATATCAACTTCTTATTTACTGAACTGTTGTATAAAATCACATTTAAACTTGTGATATTCGGGACAAAATCAGCTGCTGGTGTGATACCGCTTATCATATGATATAAATATGAGGCAAAACGTACAGGGGCATTTTTTTTTTTTTTGCACCAATATCTTGATTTTTAAGCATTACTGCATTTATGGAGTTGTTGCCCTGCATCATATTTGTCAACAGTCAACTGTATGAAATATAAGATGATGTACAGGTTTGGGGGCGGGGCCAGTGCGTTAACTGTGTTAAAATATTTGAATTGCGTTATTTTTCATAACTAATTAAGTTAACGCGTTAAACTGACAGCCCTAATTAAAATATTTAATAAATAATTGTAAATAACTAAATAAATATTAATAATTGTATTAAATAGATAAATAAATCAATATTATTAATAGTATCAATAAATTATTATTAACAAATAACTATTAAATATTTAAAATATTAATAATTAATATTATTTTATTTTGAGGCATTAAACCTTTTTTTTTTTTTTATATTTATCAACATTTAATTTTATTATTATTATTATTATGATAGTTTAATTATTTAGCTGTAGGGATGGCTTGATGTCATAATTGTGGCTTCGGTATGATACCAGAATCTAATACCTCGGTATTAATACTAAATCGATACCATAGGTGACAAATAAGGAGCCTCAAAAGATAACTGAATTAAAATTTTTAAAGTTTTATTAAGAACAGTGCATGTTTAGTAAAACTTAAGAGATTATTAAAAAAAATTTTTTTTTATTATTGAATAACTATTATTGCATTACACATAAAGTGCAATCTACCTGTAACAAGCAGCACATTACATAGAACAAGTGTCAGATTTATTAGTTTGCATTTACACTTTAAATGCAAACTATACAGTTTGCATTTAATGCACAGATCTGTTTTGACATACAGTATCTGTTGTTTTGCCCCATCTGTTACTATGCTTGTCACTGTCAATCATCGCAGTTTCGGATTCAATCCACCATTTAAATAAGGCTGTCAATCCAGAAACTTTGCAGTGTGCAGTTAACAGCGTGACAAATGTATATTATATACAGAGAGTGAACAAAGAGCGCTCCTATTGTAATCACTGAAGCTCTCTGACTGAGAGAAAACTCCCATTATAATCAATGCGGCTGACAACTCTGCACAATCAATCTCTTAATTACATTGTATTGTTTGTAATTAATGAAGGGATTCACGAATGTGCTTTGGGTGAACTTTTTCAGCGCTATTGAGTGGATTCGGCCTGTCTGATTGGTCATTACGTTAACGTACTCAACAGAAATGTCTGTGATTGGCTGCAATGCCTAACGCAATAACACGTTATAAGAAACCTTTGATGCTCATCACAGAGCACTTACACAAATATAAACTGGAGCATCAGCATTATATCAATATTCACAATATCTTATATCCTCATCACAATTATCCTGTAGAGTGAGTTTTATCTGTTTGCTACAGCTTTTTGAATGCACTGCAAAAACTTGTTTACCCGTTGAATAAAGTTGATTTTTCTGAGCCCTTTTGCAAGATAATTGTTCTCGTTTTAATCCATTTTAATAGTTATTTCCATATTCTAGTTAAGCTATTTTTGTACACACTATTGATGTATTTTGTTTCCTTCAATTTATTCCTTCAATTTTCTTTGCTTGGTCTTAAAATGGTCGTAAATTAACTTCATAAAACCTGCAGAAACGTTTGAAATATGGTGTATATACCAGTATTTTTCCAGTAACGGTACACCGTGCAACCCTATTTAGTAGGGTTTTTTTTTTCTTTGAATATTTGTCACAAATGGCACTTTATTCAGTGTTCATTTGGGACCCTATCTGGCAGTAATCTACTTGCAAAAAACAAAAACATTTTTTGACTTCTCAAGACAGATTGACAGCAGATCCTCTAAATAAACTCTAAAAACAGTGACATTTTTCTCAGCGAAGGCATGAGTAACTTCCTCATTGCTTTACAAACGGCATGTTGCCAGTGCATATGGTGTAGTTTGTTGAAACACTCATTTTGCATAATCGTACCACTACGAAGGTTAATATTTCCATCTGAGAGAAACACCAGTTCAGCAACTTTACTGTGTCATGTGAGAGTGTGGTATTGTGGTACTGAGAATGAGATAACATGGGCCTGGTGTAGCATGTAAGAAGCAGCGTGTATAATAAAAGATTTGTTTGGTTTTGGTTGTTCTTTTCACCCCTCTGAAACCTGAGACACCATCTGTAGTGCAGTTATGGTTCGAGGAACTTGACCGTCTGCACAGCATTTATAGAAATATGAAGTGAAACAGTGAACGTCACTTCCTCTCACATATACTCAAGTTTGAGTGTGAGATTGGCCTGTATGCTAGCAGCATTTGTGCGTTCAGCTCTCAACCTTTATTCATATTTGGCTGCTGATTAATATAGGCATGACTACAGATTCATATAGTTGATTGTGCTCAATCTCATTTGTTGTTGACCAGTAGCTACTAATATCACATTTTAAATTTGCCAAAAACGGCCTCTAAATATACATTAGCAATCAAAAGTTTGAACACACTTGACTGAATTAGTTACTCTTGGTCTTAAAAACACTTTCTTCTAAATATTTCTGCTAAAATGTTTGAAACTAGTTTTGTAGAAAGATGTATTTTAGATTTGCTTAGCTTTTTTTTTTTTATCACTACATACATTTGTGTTATTTGTAGTTGTGATAAATTCATTAAATTTTTTTAATATATGATGCATTATTTTTTTATTTATCAAATATATAGAGGTATTTATTTATTTTTATGTTGAATGTTGAAAATAGCAATAATAAATAATGACGAATGAATATATCTCCAAATATTTGACAACTGTGTGTCGCTGGTAAGAAACATAATATATTAATAAATTATTAATAAATATCTATAAATAAATACATGCATTGATATATTCATAAAACAAACCATTTTAAAAATAAATAAATTCGTTTTTTGATTGATTGAACGAATTAATAAATATATAGAGGTGTTTGTTCGTTCGTTTGTTTGTTGAATGTTGAAAATATTCCTAATAAAGATTGAGTAGGTCTCCAAACTACTCCCATATATATCCTGTATAGCTACTATATAATGGTAAGAAACTTTCTATTCAGCTAAATAAACAAATGTATTGATTCATTTATTTTAATTGATATTTTATTTTAATATTTCTGCATGTTGAATATAGTAAATTCATAATAAAGAATGTGGTCTGTGTATATAATTTTTTGCAGTATATAAATCAAATTATATTGTGGTAGATATTTAACAGTAGCACATATTTCTCAGGGAATATTTTTAAGTACAACACTAAATGCTTCAATCAAATTCAGTCAAGTGTGTCTCAACTTCTGAATCAAAATTTGATGATAAATGTTGTTGATCAATTGATAACAACAACAACAACAACAACAAAATTAGATTTGGTCCAAACAACTATATTAATCTACGACCATCCCTATAGATGTCATATATAAGGAGTTTCTAGGCTGGACTGGTTTGCATTTTTCCAGAAAACCGATGAAGCAAGCATCCCACAAAAAACAGTCGATATCCCCCCAGAGGTGAAACCTCATGCCGTAGGTGTTGGGTTTCCTTTTTCCCGCCTGCTCAGCATCAGCAACACGGTTACCATTAGCAACCGTGAGTTTGCGCGCATCCGTCAGTGTGTGGCTCATGTCTGAGTCCCATCACGTCTGTGTGCGCGCGTGTGTGTGTGTGTGTGTGTGTGTGTGTGTGTGTGATTTAATGTGTCATCTGGTCTTGTGTGACAGAAACACACGCTGCAGAAGGAGGCTAGTGTGCTAATCTGGCTTAGCGCGGCTTGAGCTGTAGCTGCAAACGCAATCTGAGGTCCTCTAGGGAGGGACAGAGACGCAGCAGCCGGCCGGGGAGGGTTGGGTTTCACTCTTTAATGTGTTTGCAGTGTAAGATAACCTTGCCATTAAGGACAACAGGCAGGGAGGAGACGGGAGTCATTCTGCTCTATAGGCACAGAGTCAGGCTAATGCTCACAGGTGCTGGACATACATTGAGTCTGGGCTCCTGACGCACAGTAATGAGATGATCGCCGGGTAGATCCGGGCAGAATGATAAGGTACGTTTGCATTGTGAGCGTCTCGTTTTTCAGCGTTTCGGGTCAGTGTTCACAGTAGAAATCGGGGTTAGAAAGTGATTGTATTGGCGAACCTTTCATTGACAATTCTCTGAACTTATTAGAGAGATTGTGCTTTAACTATAAAGTCATTTATTTTTTGTTTTTTAGTCTCTGATCATCCTCAGACTTCATTTGTTGGCGTCATTCACGTTGTCTGATTTTTCAAGTGGTTTGAATGGTCTTGATCGCTTGTGCTTTTCTTAGAAGTTAGTAGTCTTAAACTCGGCAAGATTTCAGTGTCTCGTAAACAATTTCTATATTTTAAGGGGTTTAAAGGTGATTTAAATAAGATCTTTTTTACACTGGAGAACGAATGAAAAAGTGAAAGTTAGATGACTGATCTAATCAGCAGATTCTGAGTAAGTGTTAACTAATTTAATTTATATGTTAATGGGATGAAATTTAAGAGGTTTGCCGTCACATTTAGAGTTGAGAGATATAGCTAAAATTACATCTTGATATTTTTCAGGCTTTGAATACATTTAACATATATTTGTGTATAAAATCATTAAAAGTTAAATTGATTCATTGAAACTGAGAGTTCAAACTGAATCACATTAAAGGAATTGTTCACCCAAAAAAAAATTTGCTAAAAATGTATTCACCTTCAGGCTATCCAAGATGTAGATTTGTTTCTTCATCAGATTTGAAGAAATGTAGCATTGCATCACTTGCTCAGCAGTGGATGCTCTGCAGTGAATGGGTGCCGTCAGAATGAGAGCCAAACAGCTGATAAAAACATCACAATAATCCACAAGTAATCCACACCACTCCAGTCCATCAGTTAATGCCTTGTGAAGTGAAAAGCTGCATGTTTGTAAGAAACAAAATGATAATACAATATAACAGTGTAAAGCTGTTATGGTCTGTTGATCAGAGGAAGTCAGTTGAAAGCCCATAACATCCAGAGAAACTCCAAATAAAGCAAAAAATAAATATTACAGAAGATGAAAAACTTTAAACCAAGCCGAAATAAAAATGTTGCCTTTAGTTGAAGTACTAAAATTACTAAAACCGAAATTTTAAGATGAATAGAAATATTAAAAAACAACAACAACAAATTTACAAAAACTTAAACTAAAAGCTAATTCTAGCATGTTACTGAGTTACTGGCATGGTAACTCCAAAAAATACACAACACACAAAATTAAAATAGGCCGTGTTTAATTTAAGAATGTAGCTGCTGTTTTTATATATACTTTTCAGTATTTAATGAAAAGTATTTCAGTATTAATCATGGCATCACTAGGTTCTGTCATTCAGAAACATGGCTTTTCATGCCATCTCAAAGAGGCACAAAATCACTTTCACTGACTTTTTCATTAACTGTTCCCTCCTGGTGGAATGACCTGCCCAACTCAATCCGAGCAGCTGAGTCCTTAGCCATCTTCAAGAAACAACTAAACACATCTGTTCCACTTTTATTTGACCCTCTAACTCTAGCACTTTCTATTCTATTTTAATTCTACTTTATCTATATTTATCTTCTTTTATTTATTTTTTATTTTTTTATTTAAAAAAAACAACAACAAAAAACAAACAAACACTAGCTTTCTATTTTTTCTATTCTATCTACTTGTTTTTCTTTGTGTGTGTGTATATTTACATTTACATTTAGTCATTTAGCACAGTGTTTCCCAACCGGGGTGCCGTCTAAATAAAAAAAGAAGATAAATATAAATAAAGTAGAATTAAAATAGAATAGAAAGTGCTAGAGTTTTCATGAATATGATTATAACAAGTTCTGTGTAAAATCCCTTTTCAACTAATCCCATTTTGTGTATATGTGTGTGTATAATATATATATATATATATATATATACATACACCTTGCTACGTGTACTGTTTGCACTATATTGCATATATTGTTGCACTTTTGTTAGTTTTGACTGCTTTTATTGTCCTCATTTGTAAGTCGCTTACCTAATAAAATTACTAAAACTTAAACTAAAATTCAAATGAAAACAGAAAACATAAAGCTAATTCAAAATGAATAAATAATATAATAGTAAATAATACAAAATAATCGTATCTGTTTATCTATCTATTTATCTATCTATTTCAATTATACCTGTCGTTTTACTCATATTTAGCTGTATTGTTAGATTAACTTTAGTGGACGTGGGTGCTTATTTAATTTTTTTTATTTAATTACATTTTTTTTTGTTATTATTATTATTATTATTATTAGTATAGTAGTAATAGTATTTATGTATTTATTGCAAGATCAAGCTTTTTAGTTTTAGGTGTAGTAATTTTTATTATTATTTTTCCATTTATTGTATTAAAGTAATAAATGTGACTTAACCTTATTTTATTAAGGTTAAGTCACATGGCCTACCCTTTAGGTATAAAGGGTAGGCCATGTGACTTAAAACCATTTATTTTTTCAGTTTTTGAGTAGTTTTAATCAGCCTTTTGCATGTCATTTTAAGTGGTCTTGCATTGAGAAATACATTTTTAAAAGTACAAATATTACATTTAGTTTGTAAAATAGCACAGAGTTACAAAACAACATGCATAATAATTACAAAAGAATCACCAAAATGCCACATAAAATAGTTTTAGATGAAGTTTTGCATGCCACATCATAGAGCATGCCAACTTCCCAAAAAATATTTCATGCAAACTACAGTACCAGCATACATTCTTTTTTTAGTTTGTGTGTTTTGTGTCCAGATTGTGTGTGTGTGTGTGTGTGTGTTTGCTTTTAGACATGTTTGAATCTGCAGCCGTTTATCTTATTGCATGCATGCGTGTGTGAGTATCACTATTCATTCAGTCTTCCCCATCTCACTCCCGCCCCTGAGTAGGTGCTCTTTACATCAAAGGTGAACGTGGAAAAGCGCAGCTCCGCAAATACATGCGCACCAGTCCGGGGGGAAAGGCATGTGAATTCTTTATGAGGCTGACCTGATTCCCGGCTGCTCCCTCGCCTCCTGTATCTGGAGCTCATTTCCCATCGCGTTGTCTTCACTTTAGCATGAGGTTCCTTCTATTGTACTGAGTATTTTGTTTGTTTGTGGTGGCTATGCCCCGTTCGCAGGCGTTCCAGAGATGGGAGCCAAGCAGTCGGCAGTTGGCAGCAATCCCTTGAGTCATTCTCCCACGCTGAAGAACATCCAAGAGGCCTATACACAAGCCGAGGACCAGAGGGCTCGCGAGCTAATCCGGCTTTCCTGCGAGAATAACGGCGGAGGGGGACCGGATGGGGTGAGTTTGATCATTTGCTCACTTTATACTCTCATTTTTGACTGAAAATTCACATTATAAGCACTTACCACTCAAATTTGATGGCCTCCAGTATATTTTGCTGTATGAATATTTGAATATGCAATACACCAAAATAAAGATCAGAGCTTCTACTTTTAAACAAAAAAATCAAGCATTCTTTTTTTATCAACACTTGAATATAGGTAGGTTTCATAAAAATGCATAATTTTGAGCAAAAATTAAATGATCAAAAACTACATCTGGGTAATATTCAGTACGATTATCAAAGCATAAATCCAGTAAATCGCTTCTATCAACACCTCCAAAGCTTGCACAGACATATACCACTTCCTGGATCAACATTTTACTCCGTAACATTATGCAGTTTTCATTAATATGCTGTCTATTGTTGATGATCGCATTATTTTTCATATGCATCTGTTTACATAAGAGATCGCTCGTTTCTCCGTCCTGTTCACGTGTGTTTTTGTTCGGGAGGTTTTGTACTCGTTCAGAAGATGCGTAATAGCGCCCCTGAGTTATAACAGGGAAAACACGGAAAGCCGTAAAAACTCGTCTTTGGCGGGGAAGCGTTGTCTTCTAAAAGACGAGATAACTCGTCAATGGTGGGGAAAGAGCTAAAGGGAAGCGGGTGCATTGTGCATTCAGTTCACCTGCTGAAGGACCAGCATATGTCGTGTTTTGGAAGCTGCTATGGTGGTTTGGCACCAGACGGGCTTTTTGTGGCATCATCAGAACAACATTTCTCAGTCCTGTCCAGATATGCTTGAGCATTATTGTGTATCATGCCGACTTGGGATTGAAATGCGCAGGCAGCATTGTAACATTATGCAGCTTTCTAAGATATCATCTTTTGCCCATATTTTAAAATAGCATCACATTGATCCTTTTCAGAGGCAACAGTTCCATAATGTGCTATTGCAAGCTCTGTAGGAAAAAAAGCATCCAAGATGTATTATGATGCATGCAATATTTTAAAGTATTGCTGAAAATAGTTAAATGTAAGTTGCTGCTTATGTAAAACTGTAAAAAATGAGGACTGAAATACAATATTGAACCAGTTTTGTAAGTGGCCACGTACACACTGAAGTTTCAGGAGCAGGCACGTGCACACATAGACATCAAAGGGGGCTTGAGCACCTGCCCTTTTTCTTCCTCGAGAGAAAGTGGCCTTTTTTCTGGGGAGTGTTTTTTCTTTTTTTTTTTCTTCTTTTTTTTATATATAAATAAATGAATGTATGTATATATGTGCGTGTGTGTTAGGGTTGTGACGGTGAGGAAATTTTCCCACCGGTTAATCGACGTGTGACAACACCGGTAATACCGGTATCACCGTGGGGGCAGGGGCGTTCCCTCTTTTCCTTGCTTTCCTTCGCTTTTAAATAGCTTGTAAAAGCTGCGTGGCCATTTTACTTTCACTTTCAAACAGCGGCAATTCGGCGTTAAGCAATTGTTCGTTTGAATTTTCCCTCTTTTCTTCGCTTTCCTTCGCTTTTAAATAGCTTAAAAGCGCCGTGCACATTTTACTTTCACTTTCGAATTAGCGGCAGTTCGGCATCAATTGCTTGAATGCAACAACAAAATACAACATCAAACTCACTTTAGCCTACATATAAAACATAGAACTTTTATTAACAAAACAAATAAAAATACACCATGCTATAGGACAGGCTATGCCTAATATAAAATAACAAATAACTTACATAAAGTTTAAATAGGTATACAAAACTGGAAATAGGCTAAGTAAACATGTATAATATATATAACCAAATAAATAAGAAATGTAGAACATTTGTAGAACATTAGCAAAACGAGTAAGAAAGCTTGGAAGCACGGCATACACCTTGATGTCAAATAAAATAAATAAATGACACAAAGTTTCTTTCCACTGTGTTTGTCTTGGTGTGGAGGTGAGTGGTGATGAACAAAAGAATAAGCTACCTGTGCCTCAGATTTACAACTAATTACCCAAAAGACAAAAGGCAATTATAGTTAATTTGTCTTGCTAACATGCATGACTCATGAGAGCTACCATGTAAGTTAGCTAAAGTTTAGCTAAGGCAATAGCAAGTCTAGTAGGTTAGACCCCCACGCGTTCTTTCACTGCATGATTCAGTTTATTAAAATGCATTTAATGATCACAAAATTCAAGATATCGGGGGAGAAATTTATATATTTATATAATTTCATATAGTTAATCAGTATCACGCGAAGACTGACGTTTTTCCCACCAAAAAAAGCAGCATGGTTACAAATGTGATATTGGTTTTATAAAGCAGATCAATAAACAAGAATTGAATAGTAAGATACTTACGTTTTAGACCCAATATTGACTGTTTTTGCTCTATTTCGCCAACAAATATCACTGCATGATTTCAGTATATTATTCAGTCAGGTGTTTCGTTCTTGAATGAATCAACCGTTTAAATGATTCCGGTTCAATCGCAATGACTCTCTTATTAACAGTGACTTGCTGCCACCTACTGGCAGTTTTAATTTCACATTTAAAGTGCCTTTTCATTAAAAAAAATAATAATTTCAAATATCAGTATTCAACGTTTTAGGTTTAAAATGTCAAAACAGTATTAATGCATGGTTTTTGAACTTTAAACCGCATAAACACATTTCATTACACCAAATACACAAAATAATGTTCTTTTTAGCAGCATCATATGACCCCTTTAACATTTTGATTAGAAAAAATTTAAATAAATATGAGAAGTGCCCTTTTTTTCCACTTGAGCCCCTGCCCCTCAAAATGTCTGTGCACGTCCCTGTTCAGGATTGACAACCGCATTTAATCCACTAAATTATAGTTTTGTGTGTGTACAGAACAGAAGTCGCTCTCGAAATCTACATGACTGACTGAGTTTCACACATTTAGTATCTGCTGTTTTTGACCAGAATAAGAGTCAACAGAGCCTTCGTGTTTTGTTCATGTTTGGAAGGCTATTTCGCAGGGTGTGCTCTTGAAGGGTTGCCTTGTCCACTTATTGTAAGCGAGGCTTATTAAGCATCTTTGAGCTTGTTGTTTAGGCTCGGCTTGTAAAGCGATCCATTTTATGGAGTTAATAAAACAGGCAGGTGCAGGTAGGTATTTTGGTGTGTGGCTTATTTCCAAGATAGTGCGTTTGGATTTAAGTTTGCTATATGCTTGTTCTTATTTTGATGTTTATAATAGCAAGATCTGGTAATACGAATGAGTCAAGATGTACCTCGTAGGCCTGGGCGATAAAACGGTATTGGTATTTATCGACGGTACACCTTCATCGATAACGATAGAAAAAATGTTTGATATAACGCACGATATAGGCGCGTGCTATGAGTGATGCAGACAGCCCACGAACACATGCTGAAATGAGTGCTGTGCCTGTCTGTGATGAGGAGATTGTGAATAAAGAATGAATATTAGTCGAATTAAAAAAGAAATAAAAAATTGCATTTGAATGCAAAAACGGTGCAATCGAATGTTATGTGTGCATCAGGGAGCGTCATCAGTGGCGCACGAGATGCAGTGATAATGATATAAGTGACGTTGTTGCATTTTAATGTTTTGTTAGTCTAGCCCACGAGACGTGCCGCTGCTGCGTTATTCATTCAAAATATTAGAGAAATACAATAGCTCAATGCGGTGAAGATCTTAATTAGGTTAAAACCGAAACCAAGCCATTCACACACAACGCATATTCAGCGCATTTTTTAGACGGACAAATATGACTGCTGCACTCACGTCTCACACAAGAGATGTAGCCATGCAAAGTTAAAAGAGTTTAAACGTTTAGAAAACGTCGCGAATTTGTGAAGGTTTATTTCATTTCACTACGTCTCATGTTTTTAAATGAAATCTGTGTGAAAGGCGCTTTGGCTCTTTATATTAAGCAATGCATAAATACATGATGCTGTTTTGTTCACAATTGTTTATGCAATTTACGAAATTATATTTGATTTATATATGTTAATTTAGACTTTTATGTACGTTTTTTTTATGGACAGCTGTTATTTCATTGCAGTGAATAAACAAATCAATGTGCTGCATTATTTTGCTCATTGCGCCCTCCTGTGGCCTCGGGAGACAAGACAAAAGTTTCCTTAAGACTTATTTAATCTGCATATAAAACATAAGAAAGGAGATATTTGTTTAAATTTAATTTTGTGTTCGACTTAAAACTAAACAAAAAAAAATATTTGTTGTCTTAATAAATTGGGTACATTTAAAATACAGTGGTTAAATTAAAAAAAAAAAAAAGTTATATTGCTCTTGGTTTTAAAAAGGGTTATAAAAAATGTCAATAATTATCGATACCGAACGATATGAAACATTATATCGTTGATACATTTTTTTAGTTATATCGCCCAGCCCTAGTTTGAAAATTAGTGAGGGGTGGGGTGAGGGGAATTGTGCTATAATAACCCCTACAAATAACTCATTATATACTCTAACACTTTAAAAGAGACAGAGATGTTTGTGAAAGATGTTTTCTCTGTTTTGGTGGGATGAACACTTAAATTATACCATATTTATTGCATCAAAATTTGTTAATATTTTAATATATGTTAGGGGTGGATAATTTTATCAGTTGTTTATTAATATAAGTCGCTTTGGATAAAAGTGTCTGCTAAATGACTAAATGTAAATGTTATGTAATCATGCAACAATACATATTACTGTTATAGTTTTCATTATTGCTATATAGATAACTTTGTCTAGTGCTCTTATGAATGTTTTTAGCATGATTTGTGAAAATGTAACATACTGAATGACACAGCATAGACTTCTTCATGGCACAAATAATGATATTTTTTTGTGTTTCCCTTACCGAATGTGCTATCCTGTCTATGCGCTCAGCAATAACCTGTCCATGGACTTTTTTGATTACTAACAGTTTAATTGCAGGCGATGCAGTGTTGCCATATATTGCTATAAAAACAAATAAAAACCGAAAAATAAATAACAAATAAACCGAAATTATTCTTATTAA